TTTTCTGTTGCTTACAACTTACCACTAGTTTAGTTTAAATGCAGTTGAAGGTGTAGACTGATAGTTAGTTAGGCCTGCTATTATTCTAATGCAATTGATGTTATGAATTGAGTAGTTAAAGGTTAAAGTTAATTAAGTAGTGTGGTATATCAAAAGTTAACATAAAAATTGTCTTTTTATATAACTGTTACAGATTAAGATGAAACAGTTTCCAAGTGTTGGTTATGGCAAAAAATAACTGTCTAGAATTTGCATCAAATTAGTGTTTGCTTAGTGTTTTGCATTCTTTTGATATTGTTCTGAGCTTATATTGAAATATTATGTACATAATATCTTTATGATGAAGTCATTATTAAATTAAACTTCATTATTATAACTTATATGTTTAAAATTTAATGCCCAGTTTTCTATTTTTGTTTTCTAAGTTTGTGTTAATTAGACTTGTTAACAATGAGATCCCCGACTTCTGTAGTGACCGATTTTCTGCATTTTTTGAAAACAATGAAAATGTTTAAAGATTGTTTTAGTTTTTTCCAACAATGCATCTTCTCCAACTAGTATTTCATCTTCCCTCTATCACAATTGTTCATTTTAAGAGTATCACATCTTATTAGCAAGTTAAAAATGAACACAAATTTTAGAAAATGAAAACAGAAAATGTTTTCACAAAGTAAGTGTGGCCTAAATATCTCTCTTCTCATAGTTAGTACTTAGTTACTTAGATTATTTTTAAGAATTTGTTTTAGACTTTTGAATTCAAATTTCCTAATGAAATTGTTCTTTTTCAACCATCTAACTGAAATCAAACGTGTGCATTTGTTAATGATAAGAAATTCTCATTTTCCTTTTTCTTTTGCTTCTCTTTCAGGTGTCCTGCTTGCAGGAATTATAAGGTATTATATGCTAAAAAGCACATTTGTATTTTGGGCATTTTTCACCAAACATGTCATATTTACTCACCCTCATTCTCACTGAACTTATAATGCAGCCACAGTACGAAAAGGTTGCAAGGTTATTTAATGGACCTGATGCAGTGCATCCTGGAATCATATTATTGACAAGGGTGGATTGTGCAGAAAAGGTACAGACATCTTCTTTAAGTTCTTCATCAGACGAGGTTTAAAGTTTATAAAAAACGCGCCTTGTTGATTGGCTTCTTTCTGTTCACTTTTTTTGGCAGCACAGATAAATACTAAGCTCTGTGATAAGTTTTCTGTTGGTCATTATCCTATGCTCTTTTGGGGTGCTCCTCCTAAATTCATAGGTGGTAGTTGGGAACCGAAACAAAAGAATAGTGATATACAGGTGATTGATGATGCACGCACAGCTGATCAATTGCTTACTTGGATCAACAAACAAATGTCCAGGTATGAGGTACACATACATTCATTGTTAATGTGGTTCTGATATTGTAGGTGAACATTTTATTTAAGCCATATGATGTATTTGAGTTCAGTAAATCAACATTATTAACTTGCAATGCGGCACACACTAATTAGAGTATGCAAGTGTCTAGAATTACGAGGGAGCATTCTAGTTGCATCTGATTGAACAAAAAAATTGTTATTTTTGTGTTTGTAGCTGATATTGTTTGTAATGTCACAGTTCGTTTGGTCTAGATGATCAGAAGTTTCAAAACGAGCATCTTTCATCTAATGTATCAGACCCCCAACAGGTCCTTTTCTTAGCCTGCCAACACGTATGATTTACTTTTGTTTTGTTTTTGAAAATATTGACGTTTATGATATGCATGCACAACTTGCAAAGATTGCAAGAGGCATCTATGATGTGGAAGAGGCAACTTCATTAGCTTTTGACATCATCTTGGAGCACAAGGTATATTAATTCTCCCCGACTGACCTTTCGTTTTGTACTCATTCTTTTGGATAATAGAACAAGTAACTTTGATTTGGCAGATGATAAAACCAGAAACTCGCGGTTCACTTTTAAAGTTTCTCCAGCTTTTGACCGCTCATCATCCTTCTAGGAGGTAATTAAGATGAACCTTTAATTGATCTCTTATAAAGTTTCTTCAGCTTTTGGAATCTCATCAAGATTGTTTATGTTTCTGGGATTTTTTTTTCAGATGCCGGAAAGGCGCTGGAGACTTACTTGTGAACTTTGATGACTTATACCCAACAGAATCTTGGTCATTTCATAAACAAGAAGATGATAAGAGTTTGGTTAAGAATTTTCAGGTTTGCGGAAAAGAAGTGCCACGTGGATACTGGGTAGGAACTCAATTGCTTAAACCTTTTAAAACATTTCTGTACTGCATTTCTGCCTGGCTTTTTTTATGAAATATTTAACAAATAGCTCAATGCAGACCTGTTTCTTAATCAGTAAATATAACTTTGTATTAAGTTTTAGTATTTGTTATGATTCATAATTTTGTCTTCATGCATGGACTTTTGAATTTTCTTATTATGAGAGAAGTTCCTAATAATATAATGTAAAAATCTTTTGCAGATGTTCTGTCGTGGTAGTAAGAATGAAACCAGAGGCTTTAGCTGTGGCTTATGGGTTCTTCTACATTCACTCTCTGTAAGGATTGAGGATGGAGAGAGTCAGTTTACATTTACTGCAATCTGTGATTTTGTTCACAACTTCTTTGTCTGTGAGGAATGCCGACAACATTTTTACAAGATGTGTTCAAGGTAAAAGAGGAATTGAGATTTGTTAATATCAATATCATTCAAGCTCCACTTTTCACCCTTTTTAAACACCGAGTTCATATAATTTTCAGTGTGTCTAGTCCTTTCAACAAAGCCCGCGACTTTGCACTCTGGTTGTGGAGTTCCCATAACAAGGTAAACGAAAGGCTGAGGAAAGAAGAAGCTTCTCTAGGTACCGGCGATCCCAAATTCCCAAAGACAGTTTGGCCTCCAAAGCAGCTTTGCTCTTCCTGTTACCTTGACCATGACCAAACAAGCAACGAAATTGAATGGAACCAAGATGAAGTCTACAAGGCTCTGAAAAATTATTACGGAAAAACACTTGTTTCTTTGTACAAGGAGAAAGGTATTGCTGGAACCGAAGGAGATGAAGGTGTTTCCCTAGAAGATTCAACAGTCGGAACGAATGCAGTTGTGGTGCCGGTTGGAGCTGCTTTGGCAATTGCTGTTGCTAGCTGTGCCTTTGGAGCACTCGCATGCTACTGGCGTTCACAGCAAAAGAGTCGGAAGTATTTCCATCACCTACACTCTTTAAAGAACATATGATTATTAGGAGGGTAATGAATTCTTTTCAAAAATGTAGAAAGAATTAGATTTTGCAGAATTTTAAAAGGGGGTATAGTATAAGTAGAGGGAGATCGATTAGTTTTATTTCTTATTCATATTAAATTTATAAATTTTAATTTGTTTTGATAATGTTTGTTTCAGGCCAAGGAGAACATGGAATTAGGAATAGCAGACACATACACAGAAAAGCATATGCATAGAAGCTTTTGTAGACATCCATTTTGAATTATTGTCTTGTTCCAAAGAATTTGTTAAGTTACTTAATGAATTAATTATCATTTCTTGATAGAATGTGTACAGAATGTGTAACATTTTTGCGTTGTATTTTTGGATTTTACTTTATATCATTTTTTGAAGTAACTGTATTAAGCTATAAAGACGAATTGCATTATTTTGTTTGGTCCAATTTTTTTTACAAAACATCAATTAAATCACACGTGTTCAAAATCAAACCGGTCTAATAAAAAATCGTAAAATTGAATCGAATCAAATTGAAATTATAAAAAATCGCATTTGGTTCGGATATGTTTGAATTATTTTTTAACAAAACTGTTTGGTTTGCGATTTGTATTTTGTAAATCGAATTAAATCAAACTGAATTATATTATAAAATCTTATTAACTAATATATATATTTTTAATTCTTTAGTTTGTATTGACTTGCTTATAAGCAATCTCCTGGATCTATGGGAATCGATATTTACCCAACTGTTTTTTTGATAATTAAAGTTTTTATTAATTAAAAACAAATATTATTAAAAATTAAAATATAATTAAAATTACATAATTTTGTTTTAAAATATATCTTAAATATAATTTTATGAAAAATTATTCAAATTATCTTTCAAATTTAAGTTATTTTTTTGAATTTTTGTTACTAAAAAATGTTATAGGATGGATTGTAAATAAATTGTTGATATTTATAAGTTAATATATATATTTTTTAAAAATGTTATAGTAAAAAGATGAAATTAATAAAATAACATTTTATGAATGATTTTTTAAACTAATTTTTGATTTGAAGGCTTTTCTAATAAGTTTTTTTTATAAATTTTTTGAAACAAAAATATTTAACTCACAAAATCATTAAAAAAAACTGAAATGAACATGCAACATATTTTTAATTTTATTTGTTTAAGTTGATATGATTTAGCCAGTAAAAAACATATTATAAGTGTTCTATATGGCTATTTTATTTTGATATAAAATATTTGTATTTTATATAATGTAAGTTAACTTAATTGGCATGAAATATGTAATTAAATGCAATGAATACAGTTCTGGTATATATCCAATAAAATAAGTTGGTAAAATCAACCAATATTAGTTTAATTAATAAATAGTTGACTTAAATTCTACAAAGATATGGGTTCAACTTTTAATATGAAAAAGTTGCAGAGATTTGAGCTCCTCTAGTTTATAGAACTCAATTTACCTTGTAAAAAAGTTTCAATTGATATACACTAACAACAACAAAATTTATATATTTTAAATTTATAATTTTTATAAAACAAAATTTAGGATTTTTCATATATGAAATTTATGATGTAAATATTATAACTATATTGAGTTTGGAACCTTAACTTTTTTGTGGTTTTAATAGAGCGAAATTATTATATTTACTCAATCGGATTATGCAACTTTTTTTATCATTCTCAAATGAATCATACAATTGTTGAGGTATTAGTTGGTGTTGGAAAGGGATGTTAAAGGGTGAAACATTGTCAACATAAAATAAAAGAGTTTGAATAGGAATATCCTAAATTACAAGTCTATCAGTATGTTGTGCAACAAGATTCCTAAACTCCTTCAAAGCCTTCTTGAATATTTCAAGTTGAATCCAATTCATCCTATTATGTGAACAAGTCCACCAAAACTGAGTCTCATATTCTTTTTGCAAATGGCTCAGTTCATCACCAAGCTTCTTTTCAACATCTAGTGTGTTATTGATTTGAGTAAGCTGATCATTGATCTCACACACGTTAGTTTTATGACGAGCCTCAATGAATTGCATGATGTCATTATTTTGGGGTGGAATTCGAGAGAGATAACGATCTATGACTGTATCAATATTGGGGTGACCAAAAGAAAATACATTTTCACTAGGTGAGAATACAACAAGAGCAATTTTTGCATCACATAGGGTGCAAAATTCATCGACTTTCTTGAAGAGTCCGCTACGACGTCTTGAGAAAGTCACTTGCAGGTTACTCTCACTGCTCATCTTTTTTATTTCGATCTTTTGATGACCTAGACTTTTTCTTCCGCTTGACATGATCAAAGCACAAATGAAAGAAGAGAAAAAAGAGATGACGTGTTTGTAATTTAGATTAAGAAATTACATACAGGAAATGAGTATGAAGGAGTTATTTTATACCCAAATTTTGTGAGTATGTATTTTCATTCTCGTATTGTGATTTGACTTAGAAAATCAAATCGCGTCACTATATTTCAAACATCATACCTTTTCGTTATATTTAAAACCTAACCTACCACATTAAGAATTCTCATAAAATCTCTTTTTATATAGCTTTTATGACAAAAAAAATTAATAGATGAAAAATGACACTCTTTCGTCTATTTGTATATATTTTAGTTTATTTAGAATGATTGATAAGTTATATTTAAATATTTTCATGAATTTTATTCAATCATATTATTATTGTCTTTATTTTAAAAATCTAAAAAAAATTCTAATATATTAAATGAATTTATTTTTTCATACATGATTAAAATATCTGCCATAAAATTTATTTTATTTTTCTAAATATATTTTTAAAAATAATATATATCAACAAATGGTTTGAAAAATATTATTATAATATTTTAAAAATATTAATTAAGATTATTAAATAAAAATACTTCGAGTTAGTATATGTTTATGAATTTAAAAAAAGAATTCAAATAATATAATTTTTCAAATCAAAGTAGCATTTAGAAATGGAAATTTATTTTATTTTTATTTTTGAATTTATTTTATTAATATTATATGATATGAGATTCGAAAGATAAGAAGTAGCACTAAAAAGTCATAATTAAATTATCAACAAAAATATGTAAAAAATTAAATTTAAAATGCCATAATTTATATATATATATATATATATATATATATATATATATATATATATATATATATATATATATATATATATATATATATATATATATATATATATATATATATATATATATATATATATATATATATATATATATATATATATATATATATATATATTAATTTCGAAATGTAGGTGATTGTTTTTTGAAAATACAATAGATAATAAAATGTATTATGTAATCTACACGGTTAATAGTATGAATGATGATGTTGTACCCCAAAATTTGCCCTCTCATTTTCTCAAGAAATCACCCTGGATTCTCAGGTTTACTTCCATCCAATTTCGAGCTTTGAATTACAAATTTTTCAAGAAAGTCGTCTGCAAGGGCAAAATAGTCATTTTCACATTAAAAGGTCGAACTTTGACTTTTGGATCAGAATCAAATCTCTGAAATCATATTTCATCAAAACATGTTGGAATATGAAGTTTGTATCATCAAAAAGTTCAAAAACCAAATTTACTATGGAAAAGCCAAATTTTTAAATACTTGAGATTTTTTCTGAGTATTTAAGAAAAATGACACTTCAGAACTTCTGAGCCAACCTCCAGGCAGGTGAAGTCAGAAGTTGTAAACATGGTTCAACACATAGTCTTCAGTCAGAACATGGCTCTTCAGCATCTACGCAAGTTCAGAACATGCTGGAGCCAGAAGGTAGGAGGATCAAAAGTTTGGATGCTACGCTGAAGCAGAACTTCTAATCCAGAGTTTTCAAAGGTAAATCAAAGAAGGTTACTGGAAAACCTGGGGAATCCTTCAGAGTATGCTGAGGCAATAGGACACTAAGATCAGAAGTAGGGTGTTTTGTTCTAGACTACGCTGAAATGGAACTTCTGGTCCAGAATTAAGCAATGATGCAAAATCTCACATTACAGGATTTCTGATTTTGACAAATCTCATCATCATTTAATGCTCATTAATGTTCACAACCACTTTTGAGTCTTTGTCCAAAGGATCTCTCCACGTGTAGTGTAGAAATACTTTTGTACATAATTAGGTAAGGGTCCATGCGCTACCCTTTGCTTGTGGGTTCACTTTTCCTTAATCCCTGCTTGCTAATCCAGCCTAAGCTAAAAAACTGTCAACTATCACACCTTTTTTGGAACTTGCTTCAAGAGCAAGTCAGCATCTAGCGTATGATGTTGGCGCTACTTGACATTTCAAACACACAAAACTTTGCCTATAAATAGAACACCATTGGTCACTGAGAAGGGTCCAGAAAAACATTTGTGAAAGAGGTCAAAATTTTGAGAAAGAAAAGCCTTGAATCCTTGCCAAAATTCCAAGAGTTACAAGAAATGTAAACACAACACATAAAACCTCATTAACTTTTGATACCTTGCATTCAAAACTCCACTTGTTCTCAATTATTTCTTGACTAAAAACCATTCACACAGTTTCTAATCCACACGTTGGAAACTGCCTAAACTTCTGTGCTCATATTGCTATACACTTTCCATCCATCCACTCAAAGAAATCAGAACATCACCTCTTTTCCATCCCTAGAAGTTGAAAACTTCCAACTTACTGAGTACGTAAAGAAGCTGTTCAGAGCTTTATCATAGTTGAGGTTAACTCCGGTTCACAGAACTTCTTCCAGCTGCAAGGTAAGTTTTTGCTGACCCTCACCATATTACTTAAGCATTACCAGATTTATATGCTCAGATACAATGTAGATATCAGTTTTTTGGTGTCATACATATTCTGAGATTTCATGCCTTCTGTCTGCCTAAGTAGGGAATAAATCAGTTCAGAACCTCTTGAAGGAATTAAAACTCAAAATTAGGATTAGCAAATTCATACGTGCCTCTGATTTATAGTTTTGATATTTCCTATTTATGAAACGCTATGACACCTGCTATAACTGTTCTATGCATGTCTTCTGTTTTGTGGAGAAATAACCAAATTACAGATGTTCTGACTAGCATAGAGAGAGAGAGAGAGAGAGAGAGAGAGAGAGAGAGAGAGAGAGAGAGAGAGAGAGAGAGAGAGAGAGAGAGAGAGAGAGAGAGAGACCAAGTTCTGCCAGTGGTATCAGAACTTCTAAAGCATGTTTTATTTATAGTGGTTTCAGAACTTCTGAAGTCTGTTTAGCTGCCAGTAGTATCAGAACTTCTGAAGCTTGTTTTGTTGCCAGTGGTATCAGAACTTCTGAAAACTACTGTGTTCCCAGTGGGTTCAGAACTTCTGACCTTATATATTTTCAGTAAAAGGTTTCTGTTTTGCAGCGTGCCAGGGTCAGAACCTCTGACTTCATTTTTATCAGCAACACGCTGATTCTTTTTTCCTTTTTTATTTTTGCTATCACTCTCCATTCCATTAATTAGCAAACATCAAAAGTATTTCCTTCACACTTTATTTTGGCTTCTTAAAACAAAAGATCAAAAATATTTTCTTAAAATGAAACAAGTTCGTTTTCACATTTTCTTGTACATTCTTATGCATTTCAATATGGTTGTAATAATAATTTAGGGTTTATTTTCTTTGCAATCCCCATTCATAAACTTGTATACCCCATCCCCTAAATGTTGTAATAATGTAGGACTTTACATTTCTGCACTTTTATTGCTTTCATATGCTATATAGTAACTAGGGTGTGTATGGCAAGATAAAAACAACAAAATAGACAACCCTAATCAAGACTAAATGCATGCAAATCAAACACACTTGCACACATACACCCTTAGGGTAATCTCACTTGTTGCCTTACAAAAAATGGTCATGTTATGCATGTGGGGTGTCTTAGCAAAAACAAATCGAAATACAAGATCATAGTCCCTCGATGACGCTATCAAAGTTGCCTTTCAAAATGATCTTAGTCCCTAAAGAAAAAAGCTAAGACATCTCACAACATTGCTATCATGATCATACGATGACTCAACGCCCGTCCCTTCACATCCAACGGTGGGGCTTCTTATCAAATCAATGGTAAGATAGCAACATCTAAAGGAGGAGGAAAAGCACATTTGAGACCTTTTGAGTAGGTAGGTTCGCTCTCAGTTATTCACTTGCTCACAACAAAAACATTTTTTTACACCAACATTCTCACTTTGAAACATTTTCAAAAGACAACACTTTGTACATGTTCTTATAGAGACGAGAGCCATTACAAAGGAAACCCTTTTTAAAATCACTTTCAAAAACACATTTCACAAACATATCTTTGAACTATTTTCGAAACAAACACTTTGTATGCGTTCTTATAGAAACGAAAATCATTACAAAGTTATATTTTCAAAATACTTTCAAAAATCACACCACAAACACATTCAAACAAAAGCAAGTGATCTAGCGAGTAACTAAGAGCCCATGGAAAACCATGGGTGAAAAGGGTGCTAATACCTTCCCTTTTCATAATCTACCCGCCGAACTCAAAAAACATCTCTAAAAGGTCTTTACTGTGCTTTTTCACCTTTCCTTTTGGATAAAAGAAAAGTCGGTGGCGACTCTTGCTAAACGCAACATTTGTGATAAAATGAAAAACCCTCAAGTCAGTTCTCCCACCGTATTACAGAACTGGCGACTCTGCTGGGGATTTACGTTATAAAAGTGGGGTTACCTTAGGGATAGATCACATTTATTTGCTTACATTGTTTGACTTGTTTGCTTTACATTATGGTTCTTTGTTTGGGTTTGAATCCTCCACCCAGATTTGGGATACATTATAGGTAAATAGCAATACATTGTGGAAACTGTGTGGGGTATACCGACATGGTCTAAGTAATAGCTATGTTAGTGTGACATATTTGTGGGTACCGGTAGCCTTTGAGTTAATCAAAGAGAATACGGGGCCGCTGAGTGATGTCATGAAATACTAATGAACTTCTAGAACCCTTTACTTGACCAACCTGGCCTTTAGGATGTAGTGAGATGACCGACTTTGGTGCAGTCCGAAGTTGGTAGATACTCGATACTACACTCATTGAGGTTTGGTTTCTTGGGATATTTCAGTCGCCATTAAAGAGGCTTGAGCTGAAACAATGACCAAGGAAACAATCCGATGATATTGAGCTCCTTAGAACCCGGTTACTATTGCTAGGACAGGTTTAAACCAACTAAACTTCAAGAGGGTACTTACCTATAAAACCCCATGCAAGCCTAAACTAAGAACTTGTTTGTCTTTCTTGTGTATGCATACTTGTACATAACATC